ATATCATAAAATGTAAACATAAATAAATATATCATTACATAAATATAATAAATATTATAATTAATAAATAAATAAATATTTATACCTTTAAATACATTCAAAATATCTTTAAAGTTTGCGTTATATCTGGTAACTTTTCCCATTAAAAAAAAAAATATATATATATTTTGACTTGCGCGTCTTTAGGCTCCTGATGTGCAAAATATATCAAATAAAAACTGAATTATTTATAATTTTTTGCAAAATGCGTTTTTGATGACTTCTTCTTCTTATGGGAACAGAACAGTAGAACAATAGTGTTCTCCCTCTTTCATGAACCATCCCAGTGTCCTTTACGGGCTTCTGTAGATCAGACCGGATGCCCCACAGACTCCCTCCCGCTTTATTCCCTATAACTCCGGGGGGGTCAGTACCACAGACTCCCTCTCGGCTTTATTCCCGGTTAGGGTTAGGGGTTAGTGTTAACCAGGGGGGTCGGTACCTTGAGCAGAGGCGCTGAGGGGCAGCCGGTTGGTCGGGGGGGCAGCGGGCGCCGTTTGGACCGTGAGCTGGGCGGGCTGACTGATCAGGTGGTGCTGCATCCCGCTGGACACCAGGTGCATCACATTACCTGCACACACACACACACACATTCTTGTAAGTACATCAGACTGAGGACCAAGTATAAGGACTCACAAACTGAGGACCAGTAGTTCTGAGCCTCGTAGAAAGATTGAGTTTTCAAATTTTCTCACTAGGTATCACACACACACACGTACATGCACACACAATAAAGTGAGGACCAGGAAAATGTCCTCACTTTCAAAAATAGACCTCACTTTGTTGGTTAAAAACTACTTATGGTTCTCACTCTGATGCGGCAACAAGGACACACACACACACACACACAAACAAACGGCGCTCAGAGGATTCTCCAGACTCTCCACCTCCCACAGGGCATGCAGATCCCGCCTTTTATATCCCTTTTTTATCGTTTTAAAGCTTTACAAAAGATTGTGTAAACAATGAGAAAAGGACAGCTCTGCCTCCACACAGCTACCAGCTGCAAGCACCTCAGCCTCCTCAGATCTCAGAATAAAATCTCTGAACATGCTTCACATCGCTCCTAAAACTAACCTAAAAATGTCTGTTGAGCTGACTAAAGAATGAACTCCTTTAACAAGTTTGCTTTGATCAGTTAATTAGAGAGAAAGTCCTAAAGTTCCTAATTTCTGCCACATTGAGGCTCCCCTCCTGTAAGGTGCTGTAATGCATCTAAAGTTCTGTTTCCAGCCACAAATAAGACGTCCAGAAGCTTTGAGGGCAGTCAGAATGAGGTCTGGAAACCTCTAAGTGAGCATGCATTCATTCCCAATCAGCCTCGTTTTGGCCTCAATTCCAGCAGAGACATGAGGAA